GGGGGGAAGGGGTGAGAAACTTATTTTGGTACAAGGTCCCAGAAGCTCAGCACATGCCCAAGAACAAGACTCTAAGAATATTTTTCCACCCTAGTCATTTTTGTCCACTTGTAAGTCCCTTTCTTGAGGGCTAATGTCCAGTTCAGAGCAGCAAGTTACATCAGGACCATCACTAAAGAACAGCTCTTCCCGCTTCTGACTCCAGAATAGTCCCTCTAGCCTCGCAACCGAATAGGTTCACTCTGAGTTATACTATCAATAGTAAAAACAAGTTCTAAGTTGGGATTTTTTGCAGACGACTGAGTCATTTCAGGAGAGTTACCTGCAAAGCAAGTAAACCATTCCAAAATATTTTTAGTCCAAGGAAACGGTGATCGGGCCTCTGCTCCCATTTAACAGCCATAGCAAGCAAGAGAAATCAGAATCTCCCTATCTCTATACTCTTCCCCTCCTCTCAGTGGAAATAGATCATCCAACATAGAAGTATGGAGCAGACTGACAAAGTAACGTAAAGTGTCCACACCCCACCACCCCAATCTGTTGGATTAAAGCAACTCTCATGATCACACCAGGAGAAATATACAACAGAGCTACAGAATGAATACAAATACACGTACACCTTCAAACCTCGAAAGCCCAATCAAGTTCCCAGGGAACACACTGATGAAACATGTTATACAAGCTAGTGACTGAAAGCAGGAGTTTCCAAGAAGTCCAAGGCGGGGAGGGATCTTTGCATCACCAACCACTTCACAGGAAGCAAAACAGGCACAGCACACGCCACAGCAGATGAAAACCCAGAACTGTATATGAACAAAAGACAGCAGTGAATGAACAAGAGGAAAACAACCAAGGTGGCTCCTCTCCAAAATGTTCCAGAGGAAACTGCATTCACCACCGTGACCCTCGAGGGGTACCTGCACCCACTCAAGACCCATTCTCATTTCTCTCTTCTGTGTTGACATGAATAACGTGCAGACACGAGCAGCCCCTAGAAAGCAAAGGCTCCGCTCTAGCCTACCATTTCTCTGGTGTCAGTGCAATGAGTATAAGTAACCAGCCCAACCACCATGGCTAATTAGGAGACATTTTCAGTGACCTTGTCCATTCCCAATTGCAGAGCAAGATGCTCTTTCCAGTCTTATGTTCCACAGGGTCCCAGTAATTTTGCTAGGTTGACCCTTTTACTTCAGTCTCTGACTCACATTTGCACTTATCCACTGCCTCACAAAAATTCGTGCTCCTGACCTTTTCCATCACAAGATCTCAATGGATAAATTGAGCTACGGGCATCACTCTCTCCATGCTGTTTCTCCACAACGCAGCCATTACAGTCTTATGCCCGCCTATTTTCACAACATGACAGCTTATCAAAACTTCATTCACTTTGTGAATCCCAGTCGGACTCAGTGTTCATGCCTTACAGCTGTTTTCTGTTGCAGTCTTATGCCATGCTGCTCCTGTTAAGGACAGGAAGTGGCACTTGAAGGTCTGTCTCTAAACGGGCCTTGCCTCAACACAACAGGATGACTGCAGCCTAGGCAAACCTAGGGAAAGTCCGATTTCCAGGTGAATGGTACCCAAGCAATGATAGGAGCCCTGGTCATCTGAGGAGGGGTTTTCAAATTCCCAGATCACTGGGCAAAGGGAACTGGAAGATCCCCAGGAGTTGCTTGGAGCACCTCTCATTCTTAGACTGGAACAAAGGGAAACTCCAGCACTGGAGGAATGAACACTAAGCACGGGGCCCAAACCACCTCCCCTTGTCGCTGGTTACTAGCTGGAGTGGAGCTGTCAGCCACCAGGTAGAAAGAAAAAAAAAAAGCAAACACATTCAAAAGGAATAGGGAAACCTAATAGGAAGGAAAGATGCTGGGGACAGCACCAGGCAACAGGGAAGCCTGGGCAGGGCCAGAGGAAGAAAATGCTGGAGCCAAAGAATATTTTTGAAGAAGCGATGAACAGATGGGAGGGTGAGGCAAGAGGGGAAGTAGAAAGGATACTGGTTAATCTCTTGTCCTGTTCATGTTAAAAGGAGAGAAAGAGACTGTTACATCAGAAAGACTGGGCAAACGCCCCTCTTTCATGCAAGCAATTCCTGGAGTGTCGGAGGGATACTGTGCAATTGTGAAGGGGGAAGCTCATGATACAGGATATTAGGGCACACCTCGCATTCATATAGCGCCTTTTACCTTTAAGGAAGCTTATGAGTGAAAACAATTTCCATTATAAGAACGGCTTTATTTTTAAAAAAGTTCTCACTTGCAGAAAAGCAAGCAAATAAACTAAAACAAAAAAAATCGTAGCTGAACTTCAATTCTCCCAATCTGGAAGTCCAGGTACACTTTATTCTACTGCCTGGGAAGCACCAGGGTAATCTATCAACCAAATTGCTACAAGAAGTCAAAAGAAATCCTGTACCGTGAACTACAAAAATGCAATTTTCACAACAGATTCTATCTGATGTTGCCTTTCTTGGGCAAGATGTTCACGTAGGATTGTATTTAATCCTCCAGCAATATTTTAAGATATACACAACATGAATTTAAGCTTACGCATATACTGCGCAAAGGCACCAAGTGTTACAGTTTCAATTTTTGCTAAAACTGTAAGGAAGAAAATAGCTATATTCTGTAGCAATTCAAAATGTTTCCAGAGAGGTCTTGCTCCCCCTCTGTGCAGCGCTGGTCAGGCCGCAGCTGGAGTCCTGTGTCCAGTTCTGGGTGCTGCACTTCAAGAGGGACGTGGGGAACCTGGAGAGGGTCCAGAGGAGGCCACTCGTATGGCTGGGGGCCTCCGTGGCCAGCCCTATGAAAAGAGACTGAGGGACCTGAATCTCTTCAGTCTCCGCAACAGGAGACTGAGGGGGGATCTTGTGGCTGCCTACAACCTTATCAGGGGCCAGCAGCATGGACTTGGGGAAAGTCTGTTCACCAGGGCCCCCCTTGGAGTCACCAGGAACAATGGTCACAAGCTGAGGGAGGATAGGTTTAGGTTAGACATTAGGAAGAACTACTTCACTGTAAGGGTGGCCAGAGCCTGGAATAGGCTTCCTAGAGAGGTGGTGCTCTCACCTTCCCTGGAGATCTTCAAGAGGAGTCTGGATAGGCACCTGGCTGGGGTCTTATGACCCCTGCCACCCCCAGTGCTCCTTCCTGCCCCTGGCAGGGGGTCAGACTCGATGATCTGTCTCGGTCCCTCCCAACTCACTGATTCTATGATTCTATTTAGACAAAATTTACTGCAGAAGTGTGATAAAGCACTTCCATAAAGCAGACTTGGCCTACTAAATGTATGTGTGTAGTGCACAAGACCTTCCAATTGTTCCAAAACCAAAAAGTCAGTACACTTGGCAGCTGGGAAAGCAACTATTCAAGGTAGCTGTTTAGAACTCAACATTCACCTATTTGAATACATTTTAGGGGTCACTGGTTTAAAAAGTACACATTACACTAACCTGTTGGAAAGCAAAAATTTCCCCATTCAACTTTTCCTTAGAGTTGCATTCTGCTGAAAACTTTGTGCTTCAGAAGCTAAGATGACTGTATTCCCTGCTGCTGCCGCCTTTCTGCAAGCGTACACTGCTGACTGTTCATGTAATCCATACAACCCTGAACTGCGTCTTAAAAAGTTAACTGCAGTTACAAATCAACTAGGTCATTCTGCAATATGATATCAAAATGGTAGAATTTTAAACTTACTTTGCAATAAAACTGTGGCATAAAAATAAAAGAAAATAAAGTGTTCAAGGACATCAGGTTTTGGTTTAAGATGGGCTAAGAATCTGCTGTGGTTCTTTATAATGTTACGATAGTAAGAGAGAAACTGTAGGTAAGTGGACCCAGTTTTACTCTGGCCATTTGAAGTCTTCCTACCAGCCTCTCTTCTCCAGCAGATGCAAGCTAATGCAAAATGCATCGTTACCAGCCCTTGCCCAATGATGAGTTATTGATTCTTTTTGCTGCATCCGCTGACAAAAATCTGTAGGCTTCCCAGATTTACAGTGTATGGCATGCCTTTTGCTTACATCTGCTCTGAAAAAGTCTGGGATTAAGCAATTACTTGGCACACTTGCAGTTCCTTCATAAAAGCATCTCTTACATCTTTATCAAAAAGAAGTTGGATATCTAGTGCTCTGAAAATGAAAACACTTTACAACCACACAAAGTGAATTTGGAAAAAAATTCAAATTATTAATACTTGCCCATGTTAAGGTTAAATATGGACTATTTACATCACTTAAAAAAAAAATCATGAAGCTCTGATCCAAAACAACTGACTTGGTCCAAAAGCAAGCCAGAAGATGACATAACAGACTGACGGCATCAAGTAAAAAATATAAAACTAGATATGGTTTTAATAACTACGTCAGATGCAGAACTTTCATCGTGACACAGGGTGTATGATAAACAGGAATCCTAGTTTTCCGTGGGGGGAGCCCTCCCCTCCGCCAAAAATCTCCGTTTAAAAAAAAAACAAATGGAAAAAATCTGTCTTTTTCCACAACCTAACTAAAGTGCAGTGGCATGTGCACATATAGGTATAGCTATAGATATCTGTGTAGCACATGGTATAGTTTCATAGTTTCTAGGGTCGGAAGGGACCTGAGCAGAACATCAAGTCCGACCCCCTGCCATGGCAGGAAAGAGTACTGGGGTCAAAC